GCGAAAAGCTTTAGTGCAGAAGAGCCTAGAAAGAGCTTGGAAGGGCCCTGGAATTCCACAGGCTGCGGCAGTCATTTTCCTTGCCAAAAACCCACCCAGAAATTCTTAAAGAAAAGAAAGAAAAAGAGAGAACAGAAAAAAAGAAACAGAAATAAAAGCCCATTGAGACCAAAAACATTGACTAATAATTCTTGAATCCATCTCCACGATATTATTCATCCCCGCCAAGGTCAGCTGTGGTCACGCGTGGCCGGAGGTCTGGGCATGCAGTTCCCAGTTTTATTTTTACAGTAGTTATGGAGCCCTTTACATTTCCAAGGGCCCCCCCCCCCCCGTCACTTGTTTCCCACCCGTCCAGACCACCCACCCACGTTCCCACACACACTCCCAGACACACCCACACAGACCCGGATTCTTTCAGCCTCAGGGTCCAGGAACACTGCTGCTCCAGACGACTTCACTTGACGCACTTGGACTACCCCAAAATAAGTTTCCCTCTCTGGGGACCAATCTAAGGCTCTTACCACTGGGCAAACATTTATAGAGCACCTACTGTGTGTGAGGCACAGATGGATGTAGGGGCTGTAGGAAGCTCTCCAGGAGGCCGAGAAACGCGAGCACTCCGCTCTGCTGAGCAGGCCCCTTGCTTTCTTGTGGGAGACATGTACGTGTGGGAGTGGGGACGGGGTGCCCAAGTCCAGAGGCCATTTCCCCTGCTGCCCGTGTGCCCTTCCTGACTTTGCTCCTCCTCCCCCTGGGCCACTCTTCTCCCTGGCTCTTCATCTTGTGCTGTGTGTCTCTCCCTCCTTTCCTTCCTTCCTTCCTCTCTTCTCCACTCCAACAAAACCTCCTTGGGAGGTGCCGAGGTGGAACTCTGGCTGTGCGCTCCCTGCTCCCTGACAAGGCCTTCACAGGAGTGGGCCCTGTGGCCATGACAGAAGAGGGACGGTGCTTGTGCTGATTCAGAAAGACTGACTGTGAGGAAACCGCCCCCCCCCATGCTGCCCCTCAGGGAGGGGAGGAGGCCTGGCCACCAGCAGCCACTGCGTGGACCTCAGCCTTCCCACAGCCCCAGCCAAGCCCTGCAGATAATTTATGAGGTGTCAGGATATTCTGACCACAAGGTCGGGATAGAAGGGTTTTCACACTTCAGCTGCCATAAAAGAGAAACAATTTAATCCTGTCTTTCGCTGGCACTGTCTGCTTTCACAATGAACAGGGGACGGGGTCGCCTGGAGATTATTTGTCTAAGCACAACCACCAAGACTGCTGCGAGATGCTGATTTCGACCCTGGCTTCCTTCTCCTCCCTTCCCAGATGGGCTGGGCACTGGTCTTTCTTACTGGACCAAAATGGGACGGGACCTTCCACCCAGGCAGTCACCCTGTGCCAGAGAATAAACTAGATGCCTGGTGGCTCCGTCCTCCACTCACTTTTAGTGGGAAAAGGGGTTCAAGTCAGAAAGGGGCAGGAGGAGCCCTGTTCTTGTCCTGCCCGTGGTCCCGCCAAGCCGCCGTCTTGAGTCTGCAGCAGTGTGTTCCTTGGCGGGAATCACCACCTCCTGGCTCTTCCCAAAGCTGCAGCACCATGGAGGTTCTGCTGAGTGGCCCGAAGCTCTGCTGCCAGGAAAACCCAGCGTCCACTCAGAAACAGCAAGGCAGCAGCTCAACGCTCCTCCCTCCACCCGCAGGTCGCAAGGCCAGCCCTCTCCCCAGCACCATGTCCCCCAGGCTCTCAGCCAGCCCAGAGGTCATCTATGAACCTGAGTTGGACTAAGGGTTTCACTGTGGGGTGCTCATGGAAGCTCCCAGAAGGAGAGGGCTCCCTGGTGCTTGGGCCTAGAAACAGCAGGCCTTCCCAGGCTGATTCCTGTGAACTTCTGGAGAAACACTCCTTCTGGATTTGGCCACCTGACAGGAAGACAGGATGAAGCACAACCTATTTCATCAACCTTGGAAGAAGTAAAGCTAGTTAAATAGAATGAAGTGAATCTCTGTACACTAACAGGAAATGACCTTTAAGAAACATTAAGATCAGTCTGCCATGTGTAGGAAAAGAAGCATCTACATAGGAGTTTATACTCAAAAAGACTCAAAAGAATGCAGAGGCTGTCTAAGGGGATTCCTTTAAAGAAGAGGACTAGACACCTGGGTCAAAGTTCAAGTGGAGATCTTCCCACCATGTTTTTTAGGGTTTTCTTTTTTCTTTCTTTCTTTCTTTTTTTTTTTTTTGAACTTTTTAAACCAAGAACTCATATTGCCTTCGTGGGACAGTTTTTAATTTAAGTAAAATCCCACAAAACTGTAATGAGAAAGGGGAGTGAAAGAGGAGTGAAAAGGGAAGCCAGAGAGTAAAGCTGAGGACGTGGCTCACTATTGGGACAGTCCCATCTCCAAAAGCCACTCCCATCCTGCTAAGTGAAATGAGCCGGTCCCCAAACACCAAAGGTCAAGTGTTATCCCTGATGTGTGGACGCTAACCCACAATGAGGTGTGTGTGGGGGTGGGGGTGAAAAGACCAAAAGCCACTCCCCTGAGCGACAGCAGTGAGCTCCAGGAGGATTGAGTCAAGGAGACGGAGCCTCCCGCATTTTAACATCAAGAAGCCTCAGTTTCAAGAAACGTGCTGAGTCAAACCGGCTTGCTCCCTGCTCTGAACAAGCCGAGGCTTCTGCAGCTCTGATGTGCTGCTCACCCCGTGATCATTACCCATCTCACCTCCAGCCCAGTAGGTGGGAGAAAGTGCACCGAGCCTCGGCCAGACAGCATGTGACAGTGCCAGCGTTCTCTGTGTTCACCGTGTGAATGATTTTCTCTCTTGACCGCAGTGTTCTCATCTGTAAAGGGAAAGATCTGAATGAGTTGCACTACCTGAAACTGCCTTAAATTGGGGCTGAGGCCTTGCGTTCAATCACCAGCACCTCCTACCCCAAGCCTTAAATTCTGCAGATCTCTGACAAACATGGTCACTATCGCCTCTGTGCGGGTGGTGCTAGGACCTGCTGCAGTCATCTCAGAGATTCCCCCATGCCTCCACTGGACCTTCAGGTGAATGCAAGTACCGAACTACCTTCTGCCTGACTTCTTCCGTAGTTGTGGATACTTGGACTTCTTAACAAACCTCAAAAACAAGCAGGCTTCCTAAAGTGCGGTCTGTCCAGCCAGAACTTTGTGCAGAAGGAACTACTGCATTGTGAGCCCAGCCTCGGAGACTGGCATGGCCCCAAGACTGGGATGGAGGGGGCAGTGCCATGCCCATTATCTCAGGGCAGGGGTTGGCACTGAGGGCTCGTCCCTGGATAGACAGCCAACACCACTAAAACAAAGGCCCCCCTCCCCGTGCTCCATCCCACCATAGCTATCTGGGACTCGAAAGAACTGTGTCCCTGTCAGGGAGAACAGCGCATTCTGCTAGAGCAGCATAGTGGTGCCCTCAGGGTCCTCGGGAATAGAGATGGAGAGAGAGAAGGGCAAGCGAGCTCCGAGGAGGGCAGCCCATCAACCACTCTCCTCACAGGTGGGGAAACAGGAACTGGGTGGGTGGGCAGCCAAAGATGGGGACATCTGAGCTCATTTCCCCTGGGCGGGTTATAGGAAAATGGCCAAGAAGCTGTGACCACGCTTGGAGATTGACGAGGAACCCACCTCCCGCTCCCAGGAAGCCACACCATTCTGCACCAACAGACGATGCAGTCGCACAGCCCTGCAGACAGTGAGCCTAGAAGGACCCACGAGGGGAAAGGTGGAGGAGACAGCAGCCAGTGGGTGAACCCATGGGTCACCTAGTGCTCGGGAATCGCCTCGGGCGTTAAACAGCTCTTGTGGTGTGACTCAGGAGTTATGGGATGTGGACACTAACTTTCTATTCAAATTGTTGCTCTAAAATAAGTGAGAGATGTGGACAAATGCTCAGACCCCTTGTATTTATTTTAACCTACTTCTTCACTCACTTTAAGGTGATTCCATATGATATGATTATGGCCGAGACCACTCCTTGAGGAAGTCAGCCATGATTTCCAAGGAGTTCTTATATTTAAGAGCGAAGAGCACACATAGCCACGTATTCCTGAATCTGTTTTTAAGGAAAGAGGTGTTATTAGACTTCTTGATGGGATTATTTGAAAGGTGCATCAAATCATTGTATATGAAATATATGTGCACAGATATCATATTAGAAAAATGGAAGAAACCAACAAAAGAAAGAAATCCCAGACCTGCCTTTGACTAGCTGCAAGTGTCACCTTGGGAAAGTTCTCAGGCTGAGCCACAGCCCCATGGGAGAGACGCGATGATGAGAGATCCCACGGTGTTGTGCACGCACGGCAGCTGAACGGCTTGCTGCAGGTGGGAGGCCAGAGCAGTGGCGGACAGGCAGCGAGCACCAGGTGTGGACATCATCCATGGGGTCTGGACATGAGGCTACCCTAAGGCCACCAGCACACTGTGTGGGGTGCATGAAGACCGTCAGGATGCTCCTCCTGAGCCCCTCGGCCTCCCAGAGGTCCTCTTGGTGTCTCTGCTGGGCCGGTAGCTGTTTCTTCATGTGCTGCAGGGCCACACGCACAGGAGGCGCCATCTGTCTCAAGTGACACGTGTTTACCCACTTGCATACCTATCCCTCAATTATCCACCTCTTCTCCCAGAAAAAAAAAATAAAGGGCCTGTCTCAGTCTTTCATTTGTATCAGCCTCCTCTAATTTCCTGTCCAAAATGCCCTGATATTTAGATTAGAATACTAACAGAATACCTGCAGGCGGAGGGGAGAGAGAAACCAACTGCAGTCTTCTGTGGGACCCTGGCCTCCTCACCGCCTGTTTCCTGGAGGCCAGGTGACCCATTCGGGTCTACTGTCACTGACGGACCCCAGGACCATGCCTTGTCCTGTGGAATAAGTGAGGTGGCACAGCAGACACCGTTGCTGTGGCCCAACATGTGCTTCCCCTTCGGACTTGCTAATTAAACCTCAAGTATTCAATGTAGTTAGGTAACAGAGATTGCATACTTTTAAGAAGTTCAGCCTCTTCTCTGGCCTCACTTGCCATGTCACTCTTTTTGCCAGTGATCAGAGGTAAGTGTGTGACTCAGACCTGGCTAATGAAGCTTGAAAGAACATTGGTTAGGGAGCAAGGTAGGAGGAACTTCTAGAAATGATTTTCTTTCTTTAAACACACATACACATGCAAACTTGCAAGAGGGGGGGAATATTTCCTCCTGTCTCTAAATTTAGTTAGATGACAATGTGTTGCCAGGAGCTGTGGCAGCCATGCTATCATAATAATTTACCTCTCTAAAGAACCAAAGCCAATATGCTGAAAATGGTGGCGTAGAAAGAGAGAATGGGAAAATTGATGGCATCATTGAGTCACTGTGATTGCCCTGGGATCATCTCTCTTGTAAAGCATAAGCTAATGTCATTTGATCTTCTGGTACTTAATAGTTAATCCTAGCTAATACAAACATGCATTTCGAAAGAAAAACAGAGTGCTTTATAACAGCACATTCATTAATCCTAGACCACCCCCTGGAATATCTAACACATATGCCCAAAAAATAATTAATTATAAAAACTTTTCTATATTTCAAAGTATTTTCACACTCCTCTTACTTCTTCTTGTAGACTTTTCCATTAAAAAAATTCACATGATTTTTCTATTAAAAACTTTATCCTATAAATGTCATAATTATCTTGCCTCCATTAATCCCAAATTTTCACAAATACAAAGTTCTGTTTTATTCTCTCAAATTACAAATTTATAGTTTAATTATATTTATTGTGTTTTTCATGCCCCCACCCACCCACATTCATTATCCCTTCCCAGAGAGGCTTTGGCTAAAAGCACCGATTCAGGAGACCCAGAGTCATGCTTGCTGTCCGTGTGAGCCACCCAACCATTTATTTTCTCTGACACTTCACTTCCTCATCTCAAAATAACGTCTAGGTCTATTACCAAGATGAAACCTTGGCACAAATGAAATCTCAAAAAAATATACAGGAAGAAAAGAAGCAGGGGAGAAGAATAACAAAACAGTGAAAGGAAGAAAAGGAAGAGGAACACCTCAGGAGAAGAGGGGTCAAGGGTGCAGAAGAAAGAGACAAAGAAGGAGGAGGAGGGACAACGTGAGAGCACGGAGGTGACCATGGCGGGGGGGGGGGGGGTCACTGTGATCCAAGAAGGACATGAGAGGCAGAGAGGCTGGCACACTTGAGAGCCGGGCAAGGCTGACTGTCCGCTCCTCAGTGCCCCGCGATGCCCCCCGGGGCTTCGGTACTGTCCACGGCTGACGCTGTCTCCTAGAGTTTGAATCTAGTTACTCCAAATATCACTACAGAGTAGATCACTATTTAGTAAAAGGATTGCAATCCTTGGGCAGTCATCCTCGTATTTCAAAGAAGTGATTGATTCATTAAGATTCCGGTGCAATCAAAGAACCTGGAGAAGTCCCTGGGGTTTGTTTAGTCAAATATGAGGTTCAGCTCAATTAAATGAGTTAAAAAAAAAACAAACAAACATGATTCCTTGGATTTCTTCTCTAATGGCCAGGTGTCCTCCTCTTCAGCGATGACAGGAGGAAGGAAAGAGCCTTTTATTGCCCCCGATGCAAGAGGGAAGTCTTCACCAGGAGGGCTAAAACAAGCCTCAGGGTGACCATCCCACTGGTCACATGTCACTTAGTGCAGAGAGTCTAAAAAGCTCGATTCGTTTTGTGCAGTCTGACGCAGGCACACGGCAAGTCGCAGAGAACTGGGAAGAATTCTCTGAGGATGCTCTAGGCCCCAGTTCCCTCCTGCAGCCTGGTCTCCGCCACGCGGTTTCCCGCTCTCTAGGGGGCACGAAGCCCCCGAGTTTCTGACTTCCCAAGGGGTGGCCTGCCCAGAGGCCGCCCTCCACTGCAGACTAGGTTACATGGGCGGCCATTTCTCAGGCACAACCGTGGACATTGTGGATGGTTCTCACCTTCCCTCCATAAAGTCAGTTGGGCCAAATGCTACCTCCATCACGTCACTGGAACCCTGATGCCATCACCTTGCAGGGTTTGGCTTTCAGCTCCGAATCCTGTTACCTTGCCACCCAATCCCAGTAGAGTGACTTCACCCAAGAAAGCAAAGGAAGGAAACTCTCGCCTTGGCCTGAGTTAATAATGGAGAACGGGGAGAAGTCTCATCTTTCCAGTCCAGAAGATGTGTGCATTGTTTGTTGTGAAGAGCCCTTGGGGAGGCAGAGATTTCAAGTTCAGCATTTATGTGGCACATTTTTCAATTAGACGATACACAGTATGGCATTTCCCCCTCCCTTCACCCCTTCTCTTTTATTACCACATGACTTCATCTCCCCATGTGACTGACAGAGCCCATTGGGCTCAAGACTGATAAAAAACATCTGTGGGAGAAAAATTGCAATTTAGAAAACAATTAACTACATCAATTTCAATTCATTTGGTTGGGGCCAGAGAAAGAAAAGTCGTTTCAAAGAGGAAACTCGGTCTGCACTGGTTATGGAATAAAGGGCACGCAGACTTGTTCCTGGGGTCCTGGTGCAGAGGAAGACACCCCGCTCAGAGTCGGGGTGCAGACCGAAGCCTCCGCGAGGGGCGCTGCAGATGCTGACGGAGAGGAACCAGCGAGCATTTCTCTACTTTTCCAAGGTCTTCTTGTTCGTAAGACATTTTTCTTCCATTCTCTTGAATTCCAAAGAACTGGAGGACTTACTTGAAGGACATTTCCCTCTTTCAAACATTCACCAGATGCTCCAAGGGAAACTGGGTTTGCTGTTGAGGGTCCTAAGGTCTGAGGTGTGTGTGTGTGTGCGTGTGTGTGTGTGTGTGTGTGTGTGTGTGT